TAGGAAGTGCTAGAGAAAAGGTCTTAGGACCTTGGGGGGTTTGGGAGAGAATGGAGTTTAAAGGTGTGAAGAATGGAGTGATTTTCGGCTCTATTTAATGGATGTCCAGGGGCCTCTCACGTCATGAGACATGCCTCTCACGTCGTGAGTCTTGCGTAGGCACCACGGCTTCGCCTGGTGCTGACATGTGGCCCATGACGTAGGTAAAACAACCAATTTTAAGAAAATCATAACTTTTGCATATGAGTTCCGTTTTTTACGTTCTTTATATCCACACGTAGGTATTAACAAGATCTACAACTTTCCTTTTGACCCCATTGGCTAATTCTTGACCAATTTTAAATTTAATAGTCTGAGAAGATTACACTGTTAACGACCGTGTAAAATTTATAACTTCTACATACGGACTCCGTTTTCGACTGTCTTTTTATCGTTGAACTCCTATTAATGAGATCTTCAAGTCTCATTTAGACCATTTTGGTTAAAAATTGACCGATCTAAAATTCGATTTCTGAGATGTATACTGCTACGTTGAAACTTCGAAAAATCATAACTTCCTCTTATGAAGTCAGATTTTGACGTTCTCTGTATGCACGATCTCGGTTTAACGTCTACTATGACTTTTTTTTCATATTTATAAGGCTAAAAGTGTTTTGTAAAAAATTTAGTTTTTACGATACACAGATCCGTGTCGGTTTAATCGTGAAAATTCGACGGGTCATAACTTCTTCGTTATAAGTCGGATTTCAGCATTCTTTATATATACGGAATCCTTGTGACATATACTACAACTTTGGTTAGGATTATTATTCTAAATAATCTTCTATCAAAAAGTCATTTTAAACGTTTATTATCTTTAAATTGACTAGCCCGAATTTGCAGGCGTTACAATTATTTACATACTAAAGTTGGTAAACATATCAAAAATGCTTAACCAACATAAGGAACATCACAGTGGACTATTTTGGGATCGACAATGGGTTGTTTAGGATAAATTTTACATATACATTCAACAATACACACATTTTTACATACATATTCAACAGTTTCACATATATACATAAAATTTTCATATACATTCAACGATACGTACACTGATTAACATATCCACATATATACAATACACATTCAGAAGTGAAAAAGAAAACTAACTTGTGCTCGCCGGAAAAACGTAGTTGCAGTCAGTCTTGATGTGGTGTCCTTACCGAAGACAATTACCTTAAAATAGAAAATAAATTAACAATTAACAGATGAAATGTTGGTCAGAAAAGAAGAGAAAGAGAAACAGGAAGAGAAAACGAACGTGGCCGGGGATAACAGGTTGTAACCGGAGGTGACAGCCGGCAAGCGGAGGTGGCAGTCGGCAACGGAGGTGGCAGTCGGCGAGGGAGGTTAATCGACTGTGGTTCGACGATTTGAGTAGGAATGGAGAGTAGTGGCGTCGGTGGAAGCTGTGGTGATGTCGCAAATCGTTGTCGTAGAGAAAAATAGGAGAGTTTTAGCAGGATATACGTCGTCTAGGACGAGGAAGCTGAACAAAGGGGTAACCCTTTAGCGGCAACGCTAATAGTGGCGCCCTAGAGGGTATTAGCATCGACATGTTGGAGGGAATTGAACATGCCTTTTCTGGAGATTATTGACCGTTGGATCGTGTAAGAATTGTAGGGCCAAGATTTCGTTCAATGTGGGTCACACGGATCGACACCAATAGCGACGACATGTCACATGTCGCCACTAAAGGTGTCGTCGCTATTGCCTTCCACGGGAACAAACCCTATATGTTGGATCATGTTCCAAACCAAGGGCCAAGATTGAAAGTGGCGTATCTTCGACGGATCTCCGGTCCATACCCTTAGAGACAATACTATTAGCGACGACAATGACTTTTAGCGGCGGCACCAGGCGTGGCTTTCCTGGTGTCGTCGCTAAACGTCTAGTCATCGCTAAAAGTGGCGTCCCTAATACTCTGTTTTCTTGTAGTGTAGGTATTGTGGTTTGGGTTAGGTCTTGTGTTGTGGACATCGTAAATTCTTCATATGATATCAGATTTTAACGATCTTTATATCCACGTGTTCGTTTTTTGAGTCTACTACAACTTTCGTTAAGATTACTCCTGTTAAAATGTAATATATTTTACTTCCGATTTTATAAAAAAAACATCCATACATGCATTCATAAAAACGTACGGATATAAAGATCGTAAGTAAAAATATATTACTTTTTAACGGGAGTAATCTAAACAAATGTTGTAGCAAGCTAAAATACGAACGCATAGATATAAAGATCATTAAAATTGGAGATTGTATGAAGAAGTTATGACGTTCAGAACACATAACCTAAGCAACCAAGTAGGCGAGATCACGATGGACATAAGCATCAAAAGCCCCCAAACACCTCATTAATGATTGTCGCACGTAAGAAGTCGTGAGAAAAACTTAAGAAATCATTCATAAGTATTGAATAAATATAAAAACAAAAATGACTTATATTGCAATATATATATATATATATATATATATATATATATATATATATATATATAGGATATAGATCCGGTAAGAAATTTTTTTTGGTAGGAAGGTAAGAAGTTTGTTTTCTACATATTTTTTTGACGAACAAAATAAATGAATCACTAGATGATTCATTTGTAAGATGATTCACAAGAAAAAATTCCCAAAAAAACATCTTTATGATTCATTTTTAAGTAAATTAAGAAAAAATTCACTTTTATGACAATTTTAGTGAATAACAACAAAATCATTGTATAAATGAATCATCGAGATGTTTTTTTGAGAATTTTTTCTTGTGAATCATCTTACAAATAAATCATCTAATGATTCATTTTGTTTGTTCGCGAAAAAAATATGTAGAAAAAAAACTTCTTACCTTCCTACCAAAAATTTCCTTCTTATTTGATCTTGACTCTCTCTCTCTCTCTCTCTCTCTCTCTCTATATATATATATATATATATATATATATATATATATATATATACACACACACACAGTGAGAAATATATTACCATATTAAGTCATTTTTACCGGCTAACCTTGAGTAGCCGGCCATAAGGACTGAATGTGTAATTTAACAAGTTGAAGGGGGTAAATGTTGACGAAAAAAACTCAGTGACCAAATGTGTACAAATAAAAAAATATATTATCCTTTAAGTCATTATCACCGGGTTAATAATTATACTAATGATTAATATCCAATCCTTAATATTATTAAAAGAGAACCTTTAATTCACCAATGAAGCAATCAATGCCATTGATTGTGTTTTAATCTTATGTTTTCCACCATTAGATCAAATTGCTGACATCATCTTTCCCATATAGAATTCAAACACAATTACATTTAATTATAGAATCTTTATTAATTATAGAATCCTTAAATTCAACAATTATTTTATCAATTGAAGCATATCATTTTATTTATATACATGATATCAGTTTCTCTAATTAATATTGTTCCTAATTTAACTCCCCTATTTATAGTTTTTGGTTTCAAAATTCAAACTCTTTTTTTAAAAAAAAAACTCATTAAATAAGCATATCAATAATTCAGTTGTTAACCTATAAAATCTAATCTAATCCCATTAAATCAGCAAAATATTTGAGAATCAAAATTAAAGTTAATATTATTAATAAATTATCTCTCAATATATCTCACATAAAATGAATCAATTTGAGATAATGGTTTGAATTTTAAAAATCATTAAATAAGCAAGTCAATTAATTTGAAATTTTAAATTAATGTAATTGATATCTTAGGATCCTAATTTTTTAGAAGACAATCATTTGCTTATTCAAAAACACCCTATATATACGATACATTGAGTTATTATTCTTACGATTTTAGATTGAGTCCTACGATTTACAATGTTCTTCTTCAGCGATCTTCTTCTCAAATTCCTTTTTTCCAGGTTATTTCTTTACTCTGTTCTCCTTATTCTTCTCTAATTTCTTGCATTGACTCTGTTCTTATTACCTGTTATTACTATGTTCTTGTTGATAGGTCATGAAAAAAATTAGTCAAATCTACTTTAAGCATATTAGTTTCATTCATTTTGTCACAGAAACCAAATTATATCCTTTATATCGATTTTTTAAATGTGTTGACATATGTTTGTCAAGATAAAACCATAAAAGTCGTTTTAAGGCATGATGACAAAATTGGTGGAACGGACCAAAAGCAAGATAAAGAAGTTTTTTATTGTTACACTTCAACTTGCATTAACAAAGACATATTTGTTGTTCCAAGGTTTTCAATAACTCTTTTCTACATATTATTATAATCTTCGGTTAAATTTTCTAATTTTATATTATTGAATTTGTTTATATCAGTGGTTTTAGTTTCAAAATCACCATTAGAGTACAAGACTTTACCGATATGGTGTCACTTATGTTATTTGATCGTGACGCAAAAAACTTCTGGAAAAAAGCACACAAGACTTGCTTCAAAAGCTTAATGAGGTTATCGATATTAACTTCATTTACATAAAACTAATTTTTACTTTTTGTCTATCTAATTTTATAACCGTTCATTTTTTTAGGAGGATAATATGAAGATTTATCCATCTCCTTTGAATTTACTTTTGGATAAAAAGTTGGCGTTCAAAATTCAAATTTCACATTATAATTTGAAAAATAAAGTTGATGGTTATGCAATCTCAAACTTCAATGTTGATAATACAATCATTGTTGAATTGGAATTTTTTTTTTTAATATCGAACATGTAACATTCTTTTACGAAAAATACTACAGACACCACACTTATGTAATTTTGTTTTTATATTTCAGTTGAGCAACTAACATATTTCTATGTACTACAAATATATGTGCCGGAATCCGATTCTTTTAACGTTTTATCGGCAGAATTCGGATTTCAAGACATATTAAATTTAAAGGTTTTAAATATAATATAACTAAATCTAATATTTTAGATAGTTTAAAATATTATTAACTTTTAGATTGACATATGAATTTATTTTCTATATTTAGGATGTTGTTTCGTTTACTGGTGATAACATCACACCCGCTTCAAATATTGATAAAAGTACTACAGCAAGTCCACTAACTAAGTGGACATCCTTTAAAAAAGTGTCTAGACATGAGGAATTAAAACATAACCTGAAAGATGTTTACGATGTTGATAATCTGACAACAATGTCCTCAACCAAATCATCATCAACATCAATGACAGATCGTACTTCTGCAGAAGGCAAGCAAAAACTGTTAATTCCAAAAAAAGAAAAATAATATATGATTTTCATGATTTTTGATTACTCATATAGGGTTGTAATAAAATAAAATTTTGATAAATTGAAAAAATTGTTCAGCGAAACCTTAAAATTTTGAAATTTGTTGGAAATTTCATTATATGTCAAGTTAGGCTTCTTTTTGTGTTGTCATGTTTGTTGATTTGGCTATGCAAGGTTCATTTGAAGTTCAATTTCTCTACACGAATGTTAATGTTCACATCCAAATGGAAACAATCACATTTGATAAAACATTCTAAATGATTTTTCACTTACATTAATAAAAATTGTTACTTTAAGTGGTGCGTTCTCATGGATACCACACCGGTTGTCACTATGGAGACCTTCTAGCTATCTATAGAAGAATTCTAATGGCTTTATGAAGAATTTTTCTGCGTTTTAAATGAAGGATCACTTTGTCAACATTCGTTCTTTATAGTTCTTTCTCTTGTTTTCGATATAGATACATGTCACAACAATAAGGCAGAAAGAGGTGTTAGTGACCATTAAAGATGAAAATGTAATATATAATTTAAGAATATTATATAAAGTATAATTTGTAGATTTGTGATATTTGTTTCTATGAAACATATGTTTGATTGCTAGGTTACATATCAGGGTTTTTTTTTTTTTTTTTTTTTTTAAATTTGATTTTGACAAGTTTAATCTAAACTAGTAAGGTTGCCCATGCTTCGCATGGGTCAGAAGGGTTATTGTTAGAGATGCAAAATATTATAAGCTTCACAATCATTTTCATGAAACTTATTCAGCTTTATAAACTATTTTTTGACTATTTTTTGACGACAAAAGTACATTGCTATCTCACAAATGTAGCATAAACTATGTCTATTTGTTGATGCATCCCATTATACCAAATTGCCCCTACAATAAAACAATACAATGTCGTAATAGAAAGTAATGAAAGTAGGGTGACATAGAACACATTGCATTAATGTAATTTTAGAGCCAATATATATGTGTGTAACCTGTACTGATGCATGATTTCCCTTCGATTGTATGCTTCCATGGTTGTTCGTTTCGACAAACTCATAATAGTTAAGACCAACTGCTAACCCAAGAAGAAACAATACATTTAAACCATTTAACCAATTCTATGAATATGAAATTATTTAATGATAAGTGGATTCATTCCATATATGATCATCAACTCTTTCAAGTTTAAAAAACATTTTCCTAATTATACCATTGTATTTTTAACTTTATACTTGGAGATTGATGGTAGAAATAACAGCTTACTTCCAGTTACATGTTCATTATAACAACTTACTTTCACGTCATTTCTTATCATGGCATTGTACAAAAAAAAGTACCCAATTAGAACATTATACTCTCATTTCTTTCTTATAAAGAGACTGTTAGTCAATGAATATACCTAATTATAGTAGTGAATACCAAGAGACTGTTCTTATTAGGAAATTATAATTTGCAAAATCTATTAATCATAGCATAATCGGACAGCTCATGACCAATCTCTATTGGATGAAAAATATATTCAGACTTTATTATGAAAATTAAGAATAAGAAACCTCTAACTTATATCATCGGCAGTAAGAAGAGAAAAAGATGGGTAAGATTTAATGATTGAGAGCGGATGAGCATATTACTTTACCTAGATATGGAGAGATGTAAGAAGTTAAAATGCAAAATTAACAGCACGTGAGAAACCTGCATAAAAAATGCAGGATCATGTGTTACACATAACAGTTAACCACAAATGCACACAGCTAAAATTAATAAAACTGAAATAAATTGATTAAACATAAAGTAATAAAACAAATCAAGTCTTTATTACGGAAACATGGAGTAATGCTTAACAAAAAAATGAAATATGCGACAAACACCAAACCATACAACTATTTTTTGAACTATGACCATTATGACCAATATGCCCCTGCACTGTTAAACAAAGATATGAGTTTGAGCCGAAGATGATTATAAACAAAAACTAACTTACCCTTCATACAGAAACAACTAACAGACACATACACAGACAATTTGACATTTTTTGTAAGAAAGTAACCGAAAAAGCAGGAGTTAATTGGCAGGAACCATTTATGATAGAATTATTAATTTGAAGGGTGACTGAAACTTTTGGACCAAAGATGTGTCGTAGTGATGTATTGGACTAAATGTTGTTTATAATAGAATTATTAATTTGAAAGAATGATCAAATGAATATGACAATGAACAGTCATTTGTCAGAAAGAAAAAAGGGCATAACATATGATAAGTAACACACTAAGACAACTTACTTCTTATTGTTATTACTTCTTAGAAGAAATTATTAAAAATGTAGTTTTCAAGTGTAAGAATTTACATTTTTCTAGCAAATGTTGCTTCAATCATCAAACATTTTACCATTGCAGAATCACCTTCTACGTCTGAAAATGCATCCAATGTATTGATCCCTATCTTGAAGAATGTCACCTATTCAACAACTGAAATTGATAAGCAAAATCTCTACATTTTGTCTATTAACAATTCCAACAAAACAAACCTAAACTTAGAATATAGACGACCAGTCTGAAAGAAAAAAGAAAACATGAAATGAACAACTTATTAGAACCACTAAACTTGAATCACTACAAAATTGCAGAATAATATTTTCACAAAAATAAATGCAATAAAAACCATGACCACCAAAGAAAAAAAAACAAAAATAAAGGAGTATTTGCAAATTTACCTTTCCAAGTTTGTGAAGAATTTTTTTGGATATCAGAATGATGGTTGTACAAACCCCAACAACAGCCCATGTCAGGGGGTGAAAGCTAGAAAGAATATCTTCCTTCAAGATCTTAAATCCAATTTAACTGTTGAGATTTGTTCCTATATGTGCATAAAAAAAGTACGGAGTCGACAAATCAGTTGCTTATAAAAATTGAGGATAAGAGTATAAGACGTTAACGAATCAATGACCTATCAAGAAAATCACAAATTACAACTAATGGCGGGTGTCTACCTGAGACTTTATAATATGATCGACTCAATCAACTCCATTTTCTGAATGGTGTTTGCTTCAAATACAAATTTTCATCCACCAACCTGCAAATTTAATCAGAAATCGAATTATATGGTCAAAATTACTGTACAGTCTACACCACAAAGAAAGTCAATGACTTCAGTCAAAATATGAGGGCCAAAACTAAATTGAACATGAACCTGCTCAAAATAAATTAACGAATGTTAAGCAATATATGATTTTCTTTTCTTTTTTTACTTTCATGCAACTATAGATTAATCCCAGATAATAAAAATGGAAAGGAAAACTGTTTGGTGAGTTGCAAATATATGGATTACATTTGGATAGTCCAAAGTATGATTATAATTAATATATACATGTTGATATTTTTTGTGGCTAAACTGATAACAGTTAATTCACAGCATAATATAATTAATTGGCCAAATTAATAAAACGGTAATGTATAAATGTTTTGAAATCTGAAAAAAAAGCATAAACATTATCCAGTAATCTTTCTACATTTTTGTTGATATATTTCCTTAAGAACCAACAAAAAAGTTATTAAACAAACTTATAGTTATATCGAGGCGGTTAATGGTTAAAAAATCTAAGAACCAAAAGTGATTTTGTTTGGCTCCTAATTGTCGGTTCCAGTTCCAGAATTGCAGGTTGCAAACATTGGTATCCAGGTTTCATGTTGACCTTGTTTTCTCTGTTTTAGAGACGGATTTGCTGAGCTTTTATTGTTCCTCCGTAACCAAAAGGTAGCAGGAGCTGCAAAAAATCATCACATAAAAAGAAATTATGAGAATAGAGCTAAGCAAACACTAAATAAGTAACTAATTTATTTAATTAACAAAACTCCTTTGGTAATAAGAAAAGGGAAGGAACTTGCACAACATCAACAATGGTAAGATATGAAGAAAATGTGATGATAGAAACAAAAAATTGGACATAAAACCAAAGTGTAGGGCTACAATGGACATGCAAACCAATGGTGAAAGATAATCACATTACCACATCACAATACCACATCCCTGAGTTAGTGTTTTTATATCTGAAAAATTAAAACTGAGGACATGTGTAATAATTCTGCCTCTTTAGCAACAGGTGAGTCATTATGTAAGCAAAAGGATGAAAATTAAAATAAACCCCAAAAAATACTTCTAAATATACAAATCAAACATTTTTCTAAATTAACCAATAAATCATTAACATCATAACTGGTTACCAAAAGGCACCTGATCTGTATTAGATGAACAGAACATTACCTGAATCAACAAACATGAAATTTTGGGTTGAGAGACATAGCTGGGGGCAAACCACACAACAAATCCTTGTCGCATAAACCAGAAGAAAAAAAAAGTAAGATGTTCCATCAATAAGCATATAACCCTAAATGAACTGCTAAATACTAAAGCTTAATACAATAAACATCCAGGCATAAGAAATTAGCACAATAGTAAATTGTAAAAAGACGAAAAGTCGATAGAAATGGTAGAGGATTTACTGTTGGCCTTAGATAGGGTTTCGTTTTGTAATTGGTACCCATAGAAGAAAATATAGTGAAAATTTTGGGTAAAGAAAATCTGCAATCATAGTTGGCCAATTTCCAAATCAACGGAATAGGTGGAGCTGGGGTGGGGGAAGTGGTGGTGGATGTTCGGATTTGACAGATAATTGCTCGACGGACCTGTAATATCAGAAAAGGGAGATAATAAATTTCAAGGGAAAATCATCTAAGTGGATTTTACCTGAGTCAAGCCGAATCAAGGACCGATATAAAGAAAATCATCTAAGTGGATTTTACCTGAGTCAATGGTTCGTCCCCTTTTTCTCATAGAAAACCATAACACATAAGGAAAGGAGAGGTGTGTGTCTTCGTGAATAGGCTTCATTGAAGACAGTGGGAAAAAAGGGAAGGGAGGCGGTGATCATGCAATGATCGGTAGAGATCGGCTCCCCCACTTGCAAAACCGTGTCCGATATCAATTGAAGAAGAAATTTCCTAACAGCAAAGCATCAGAAGCGGGCCGATAAAACATACTTGCAAAAACCGTCTTATAATTGTCTGCGATGGTCTGCACCACCGCCATCGAGGACTTTGCTTCTCCTAAAGCCCTAAACCGAAAGGAAAATAGAAGATACAGAAGAAAGACGGACATCCGTATGGAGAAAAATTATCACCCAATCCACCCTTTCGAAACTGATCGGCAAAGAAGCTAATTATCGAGACCTAATCCCCAAATCTGGAACGAAGATGGGTGATTCTGGAACGAAGATGGGTGATGGAGGCCACTTATATAGAAGAATGTAAATATTTTCATAAAATGCCCCAGATACAAAAACAAAACGGAAACAAAAACATCCATGAGCCAAAAACCACACCACTTCATTATAGGACCGGAAATGTAATTCAAGGACCAAAGCTGGACAAAATGTGTCAAGTTAACTATTTGTTTTCTCCACGACTTTAATATATATATAATAATTTGATAATTAAAGCAGGTAGGAAAGATATATGCTAATGATTTTGAATTTGTATTTTCTTTTAGAAACCAACTATAGCTTCACAGACCGTTCCTCATATCTTATTAGGTCTTAGCATTTTCCTAAATTCACCTACAAGAAGTTATGGATGCACTTCTTGAATCAATCCTCTAAACTGAATTTCATTTGTTAGTTGGATGTGGTGACCAAAATTCAAGATTTATGAACGTTTATTATTATTTATTAGTGTTAACCTTTGACAAATTATGAAACTAATATTATATTTTTGTTCATAACATGTTTTTTTTGTAATAATTTCTTTGATCGGAAGATATGTATATGTGATTGGATGTAGCCTGAAAAATCATATTTTAATTCTTATAAAGAAAAAATACTTTATAAATTGACCAAATTACAATGTCTGAAGTTGATGTTTATGGGTATGGCAATACACTTTATTTATAATGTTTATCTAATTTCTTTGTAGAATTTAATGTTGTTGATACATATAACAACTTATTGTTGTTTTTGGTTTTATAGGGTCAATATGAAAAGAGCCAAATGAACCTCCATGGGAGTTGGAACACCGAACAAAATCAATTCATAAAGCTATTACACAACTTGTTTTAATCAAGAAGTTGCATTATGTTGTGATAAAACAAAGATTACGTAGATCATTTTTGTAAAAAATTATTGTATTAAAAAACCAAATTGCTCTAATATAAATATTAAATATTTTTATTTAAAAATTTTGGTTCAAAAACTCTAAAACTGAATCTAACTAACATTTTTTTTATTAAAAATTCCACCTAAGACAATGCTACAAGTTAATATGATATGTATTTAATTTATGTTCCCTGCATTTAATGCGGGCCATAATCTAGTTGTTATAACAAAAGCAAACAATCAAAGAAATAATATTAAAAAATAAATCAGATTATTATTATCATCTGATTACTAATTAAGTTCCATTCATAAATGATCATTCGCAATTATAATTGATTGACTATACAAAATGTTGAATAAGAATGTAGGTTATTCGAATTAAAAAATGAAGCATAAAATAAAACCAACCAGAAAATAGTAGATTCTTAGCTGGCCAGTAACTATACGAAATAACTTCCTTATTTTACAGCATTCTGTGGTTGTAAGCATCGAACCCCATGATTTTATTGATAAAACAAAAAACGAATATTTGAAAACTCGGAAGAATAGAAAATTATGGCTCTTTTTTACCATGGTTTTAAAAAATATATATCATAGTATTAAAAAGGAAGTAATGTTGCAGACTTGCTTGCAGTTATGTGTATGTAGGCATGGAGGTTTTCATTTGAAAAGAGCAAAAAACAAATGTCGGCCTAATTAAAAAATCCCACACGTAAACATGGAGTTTTTCTGTTTTTGATAATTTAACAGAGCTAACTTTGATATTTATAACACATTTACAACTTCCATTAATTAATTAATAAAATGAGTATTAGCTTAATTACTTTTAATTGGATTTAAATTAGGTTCAATTGTAATTCTATTAGTTAGCCTGCTTGGAACTCATTTCTTATTTTAGACTTTTTATAATTGGTTCGAGTTTCTTGTTTATGTCTTTCTTTTTACTCATGTTTTAGTGATATTTATGTCTTTCTGTTTACTCATGTTTTAGTGATATTTTGCCTGCCTTTAAAAAAAAATTAATAAAACGAAGAATGATTAGTTACAAAAAACTTATTCAGCACATGACTACCCTTTTGACAGAGCAATTTTGACGTATCAATTACTTGTCGGCCTAATTAATAAATCCCATCTTCTTTCTACTCTATTGGCTTATTATTTCCACTCACCACCAAGCTTTATCCACCCGAATCCGGATCGCATGCATGCGTCTCCTCCTATTCTAATTTAGTGACCACAGTAATAAAACGATCACACAAGCTGTTGTCACTATGTTCATCTCCAGCAACAAAAAAACCACAGTATTTTTACTTCTCTTTGCTTCCCTCCTACTGACTTCTCACGTCCATGGAACTCATCTTCCAGACTCCGAAATCATCAAATCCTCGTGTGCCACCACATTATACCCTGACATATGCTATTCCACCCTCTCCACAACCAAAAACCCCGCAACTAACAAGGATGTAATCCAACTTGCAATCAATAAAACAAAGGAGATAATCCAAGGAAACTTCAACAGCATAAAGAAGCTCACAGCCACTGCCAATCTCACCAATCGCGGCAAATTGGCTCTCCATGACTGCTTAGAGATGGTAGCTGGAACTTTAGAAGATCTCGACAGGGTGATCAGAGACCTCAAGGAGTATCCAACCAAGAAATCCCTTAGACAACATGCCGACGACCTCAAAACCCTCATGAGCACCGCTATCACCAACAAGGAAGCCTGCTTGGACGGCCTCTCCTATGATGCAGCCTGCCGGAGATTGCGCGAATCAATCATTGAAGGTCAGGATTTGGGAGGAAAGATGTGTAGCAATGTGCTGGGTATGATCACGAATATGACGGACACAGATATGGCCACTTATAAGGCAGATTCGAATGCACGAAAGCTGAAGGAGAAAAAGGTTGTGATGTGGCCGGAGTGGTTGTCTAGAAGAGATAGGAAATTGTTACAGTTATTGCCGATAGGACCGACGCCAAACGTGATTGTGTCGAAAAATGGTAAGGGAAAGTACACAACAGTGGCGGAAGCCGTGGCAGCAGCGCCGGCAAAGAGCAAGAACAGGTACGTGATAAAGATATTGGCAGGGGTGTACAGGGAGTATGTTGAAATTCCAAAAAACAAAACCAACTTAATGTTTATCGGGGAGGACAAAAATACAACAATTATTACCGGGAATAAGAGCGTCGCGGGCGGTAGCACTACTTGGCAATCCGCAACCGTAGGTATTTAAAAAGTTTTCAAGAAAAATATTACATATATTAAAAAAAGTTTCAAGCATTTTACTATTTTAATAACAAAAAAAAAATTGCAAGGCAAAATTAATTTTAAAAACAACCAAACATATTCTTTCTAAACACAATCAAATGATTTCTAGCCCAATGGTATGTATCAAGTGATATTCTTTCTCTTTGAAGTCAAAGAATAGTGATTTGAAAGAGTAATGACACTGCACCAAAATATATATATATATATATATATATATATATATATATAGTGTCATGTAATTGGACATGAATATAAAGTTTTTTATTTATTTAGGGGTGTGCATCAAAAACCCATGATAAAAGAAAAAGGGATTTTGATTTGAAAGGGTAACGAGCTTTCAGTGACTAAATGTGAACAAAGTTGAAAGTTCGTTACATTTTCAAGTCATTATCTCATAAATAGTTCTAAATGTTATTAAGAATGAGCACAAGTGAATATTTAAGGTCACAAAAAGTGAGTATGTTGTAATATTCGTATGATATACCTTTAGTATATAAGGTACAAAAAACAACACTTAGAAATGCAGTAGGAGCAACTTCAATCATATAGAAACCGAAGGAAAAAATATCGTGATGGGTTCAACATTTACTTAGGACATAGGTGACAATTTTCACTTTAGAGGGTGAAGATGGTCGTTGTAGATCGTACGAAGAAGAGATAACATATGATAAAGAAGTGTGAAGATGATTTGATGTTAGATTTGAATGAGGTTTTTCTCTTTACAACAACAAGATATTTGATCAAAGAGTGTGGATGCATAAGATCATGGTTGTATTGTTGTAAAGAGAAAAACCTCGAAAAGTCATTTACTGCTCATGTACCGGTCCACGACCATGAGCTTATGCATACACACTCTCTAATCAAAGCTATTGTTGTTGTAAAGAAAAAAACACCATTCAAATCTAACATCACCTTATCTTTATTCTTTTTTATCATATGTTCTTTTTTCCTCGTACGATTTACAACGACCATCTCCACCCATTAGAATGAAGATTGTTGCCTATGTCTTAAGTAAATGTTTGAACCCACCACAATCTGTTTTCGTTCAGTTTCTATGTGATTGAAGTCGCTCATATTGTATTTATAAGTGTTGTTTTTTGTAACTTATACACTAAAGGTATATCACATGAATATTAAAACATACTCATTTATATGACCTTAATATTCCGATTGTACTCATTCTTAATAATTATAACCATTCATAAAATAATGACTTGAAATGGTAACGAACTTTCAATTGTGTTCATATTTAGTCATTGAACTTTTTTGTGCGTGATTTACCCGGAATTATTTGAAATTGTTCACATTTTACCCTCATGACCGGTTACAACCGGTCATAAGGGTAAATTTTGAATAATTTCAAATAAATCAGGGATAAATCAAACACACACACAAAAAAAAAAGTTTTGTGACTAAATGTGAACAAAATTGAAAGTTCGTTACCCTTTTAAGTCATTATCCCAAATAAAAATTAAGAGTAAAAAATCAAAACCTTTTAAAAACCAATTGTTTGGTTTTAATTTTTTTAGAAAAGTAATCATTTTATGTATATTTCTTTTTATCATCAACGTTTATGTTTATATAGAAAAAACTATAAAGAACATAAAAATACAAACATCAGTAACTTCGTCTTGTCATTAGAACACATGACATTTTGCCAACGGATACTATCTTTTACACTAAAACCTATAATTACAGTGTAAAAATATTCTTAACATTAAACATCTCCAACCTATTATATTATAGTTAACAATAAGAATAATATTCTAGGTATATTCATATCAATCTAAGTTTTATAATTTTACTAAAACAACTTCTATATTTATATTTATTAAGATTTTACAAACTCAATTCATAACTTTTTATTAATATAAC